TCGTGTTACTTGACACAGCCTTACAGCCTCTCACTCTGATTGTCCCTGCTTTAGTTTTAAAGGGTGCAATGTCACCAACTGATTGAAAAACAGCAAAAATTATTGCTGTACACAAAGGAAGCCCTGCCAGGTCACTGAGAAATGATCCATCAGTCTCAGGAAGGTTTATCCTACGTGCAGTGAAATTTTCAGGCACGCAATGTCCAGATAAATCACCCATGCTAAGGCACTCACTTTTTACTAGTTTTTTTTCTGCGTTCATGTTGGAAGACCTGTCTTTTGCTCAACACCTGACTTCCAAGGATGCTGGTAAAAGCATCCAGCCGCTGCCTCCCTGGCATCATCTATAAAGCCATGACCTGACTGGCATGTTATAGCAGGGTCATACAGTCACAGACTTCTGAAAATCCCTCATTTCAGCCTGCTGCCTTCCTTGAGGGCTGTCTCATGGTTAGCAGGTGTTGAAAGTGGTACTGCCAGAGGCTGAGATCAGAGTATTTGCCATCCCACACCGCACTGAGTCTAAGGGTGGATTCAGCTCACGTGAGTTCAGCGCTCTATGCTGTCAGGGCTTTTATGTGGTCTGGTTTTCTGCACCACCTTTATGCTTGCTGGATAAAAAAATAGTTCTTCACCTGACAGTATTTTAGATGTCTGCCTTTGGATGTGATGTACCATGACCTGGAATTGCCTCTTTCCCCCCTGGCTTGGATTTCTCTCTTTACATTCCCAGTGTCTGAAGCCAAGTGAGATGAATCACACTGTTTTGGGGAAGTCAGGACCAGATCCCCAGGGTGATTATGCCCCTAATTCCTTTTGAAATGGGTGGAAGTGTCTCCAATCCCCTGAGAATTCGAGGCCAGGGCAGGAGTACCGCCACTCCCCTTTGCTTTTCACCCACAAATATTAGTAGATGCTCTTGGACCCACTGCCCTGCAGATCAGGCATGTTGTAAGCCAACTCTGCCTCTGTAAACAAGCTGCAGAACTGGGCCAGTAGTGATTTCCACCAGAAAAACACAAGGCTGCCCAGCTTTTCTCACACATTCCCTACTGCAAATAGCGTAATAACATTTACAGGGTTTATGAGCCACTTCATATACCAAACTGCTGTTTTGGCTAGTCTCGAAAAAGGCTTAGGACTTCACCTAAGGTTTTAGGCTTATCCGTCCTTCTCCAGTCCACACCAGATTGGATCTACAGGTACTTGAGGCCGGGCTTCATCCTGTTGGTGCCTGTAGCAGAGCCCAGGAGTGTGCCCAGACACCGCAGGGCAGAGTTGGTGATGGAGATGGAGGGTGCCCAACCCGTTCAGGGCTTCTTTCCTTGTTCCTAGATGCACGGCTTTGCCCGGGACAGCGCTGACAGCAGCAGGGCAATGCCTATGTGATGGGGTTGGAGCCCCTCTCCATCCACATCTCTCCAGGGAGCCAGCCATGTGCTGAGCCCATGGTGTCCACAGCTCTACCAATGGGGCTCGCACCGGGGAGCGAAGGCTTGAAAGAAAAGCTGGCTCAGACCAGGAGCGCGAATAGGGTGAGAAGAAAAGAGTGCGGGCATTTCAACATTTTGCCAAATGCCCCCAAGCTTTGTGTTGTTTATGAGCAAATGGTCTAAAGCTCCCTCATGGTCTCCAAGCCACAGCGAGCTTCCCAGCAAGAGCAACAGCCCATGGAGGGAGTTTTTGCCCTGAATAAAAACACTGCTTCATCCCATTTGGAGTCCTTGAGCCGCAGGGAGATGCCACTGTCTTTTCTTGCCTGTGGCTACAGAGAACATTGGCTCCAGGGCATTGCTGAATCTAGCCAGAAGCAGTTCACCAGAGCCTGTCAGGATTGACAAATATTACAAAATTGCAGCAATTTCATTCAAGTTGCATCTAAGGAAAAAAAATGAAGAGGGGGAGTCTGATAGTGTAGAAGCAGTTCAATTTTCCTTTCAAATGACTTCCTATTTTGATTGTATTCTGTGTTTATTAGATTCAAACAGAACTGGAGTCAAACATGCTCAGTGATCAAAATAGATTGGTGGGCTGAGGGGAGCTATTTTCTTGGAGGTTTTCTGTATTTCCAGGTTTCATCCCAGGTTAGAATGAAAATCAAGTTACCAGTCACAAAAATCTCCATGAAAATACATTTTCTCACTACATACTGCCCATTTCCTCAGCCATACGAACAGGCTGGTTATATTCCAGCAAGAGCTGACGTGGTAGGAATTACCTTTCCCATGCAATTCAGAAAAGCACACAAGGGAATAAATACAGATCACGCAGTGGTTGGGACAGAAGGCTGCCATGATGTTCATTTCTCTTCTGTGAGCCCAGCAGAAACGTTGTCTACAAGTCAGGTCAGAAGGGGAGGATGCCAAGGGTGAAAAGATGTTGAAATTCATCTGTGCTGAGACTGTCAGCAAAATGACTATTTTTCATCCTGCAGTTGAATTCAAAAGGCTTATGGCAATAACACCTCCATAGTCACATCTCCCCCCACCCTGCCGTTGCTGCTTGCTCGGCAGTGAGACCCTGCATCCAGCATCCCAGCCAGCCATGGGTGTCGTGGTCAGCAGCTACTCAGAGATAAGGTCCAGCTTTATAAAATACCTCCTCACTTAAAGTCACCATGGCGGTGCATGATGGTGGCAGCAAACCCCAAATGAGGCAGTAGGTGCAAGTGCTGTCTTGTTCTTAACCCCTTGCACCAACTGTCTTTGGCCCCAAAGGAGCCCTAGTGTCTCCAGCCATCCAGAGTGTGCTTCACGTCCCCCCGAGGCATAGGCTGAGTCTCCGTGTGCTGCCACAGGCTTCTTGGGAACCCAAGGAGCAGCCAAGGAGCATGGAAAACAACCATTTAAGGAACCAGCCAGTTACTGAAAGTAAAACATTGGGTGAGAAGCCCAGCGCCAGCATAGGCAGGACAGGCGTCCTGGCTCAAGCCTGGAATTTCTGGTCCAAACCATGCTTCCCACCAGCCATCCTGGCCAGCCACACATTCTTCTTGTCACTTCTTGCCTAAGATGCAGGACACCAAATTTACTCTCAGCTCCATACTTGAGCGCTCGTCCTTCCTTCTCGCCGTGCCCCAGTTTCTCCTGGCTCAGAATCTTTCCCTCTCCCCATCACTCTCTCTTTCTTCCCATTAGATTTTCTCTTTTTTATAAGCCACTTCAAACAGTTTCACGATGCAGGACAGACTCTTTGCTTTCAAGACCTGCAATAACCATTCTCTTTGTTCAGAGCAGAGAGGAGGGAACATCAGCATAACTGCTTATTTAACCAGCATGAATTCAGCCAGCAGCACACAAGGGACCCAGACGCTGTGTTTAGCTGGGGGTAGCTGGTACGTTCAGCAGCGTTGCTCTTCCCCGCTGCTGAGAGTGTGCTGGGGCATCAGGCAGCACCAGAGCAGGTCTTGTCTCTGAAGAGCTGTGATTGCCTGCTGTAACCACCTGGTTTGTGTTGCCTTGTGGAAAACCAGCTGCAGCAAGAGACAAAGCATGTTACTGCATCTCCAGGGAGTGAGAAATACATTGCTCCAACTTTGGGTTAGAATGCAGTTCAAGCTTAAGAAAACAGGACGTGGGCAATGTCTCGCTGAGAGGAGAGAGGTTTAAACGTCTTTGATAGCAAAGGTATTAAATTAATAAATATTCCCTTCTTCCTGACTTCTCCCCCAATAATTATATATGGTATGAAAAAAAAATCGTACGAGGGTGGCGGCTTCAAATGCGGACATCCCCACAGGGTGTTTGCAGACATTTCTCCTCACCCCAATTTGTAGGTCTCACGTCTTCTTGCTCCACCTTGAGATAACCAGGTTAACACTCTGCTGCCAACATCACCCTGTCCAGTGCATTCAGCCCCCCGAAATCTTTCTCCTGTGCTCAGCCCACCTCCCTGCAGACCCTCGAAGCCAGGAGGACAAGTGTGCGTGTCCTGCCAGGTGGAAGGACGGGGGTCCTCTATGGAGGGGGAATAAATAAAGGACCTGGGAGGCTCAGCAGGCCATGAGGGAGTAATAATAATAAATTGCCAGCACTGATTAACCCAAGCCATCCTGACTCTGTCTCTGCAGCGGCTACGACTTCGACTATGACTATTACAGAGACGACTTCTACGACAGGTGAGCAGGGGAGGCATCAGCCAAAGGGGCTTTCTATGGGGCAAGATCTTCCCTGCAGCACGGGTCTTGCTGTGGGGAGCAAGGTGGGGTGCAGGGTGGTCCATCCCAGCCCAGTGCGGTGGGGTCCGATGGCCAGGCTATGCCCCGGCTGACCTCCAGCACTGCTTGGGTTCCAGTTGTGGCACCCGATCGCTGGCACGGCAGGGCTGGGAGTGCTGCAGGGCTGCTTCAGCACCCCCATCCTTCCCCCCTGCTCCAGGCTCTTTGAGTACCGGGGCCGAGTCTCTCCAGTGCCCAGGGTGGTTCCTGTGAAGCGGCCGCGGGTCACCATCCCCCTCGTCCGGCGCGTGAAGGCAACGCTCCCTGTCAAGCTCTTCGCCAGATCAGCTGCCATCGCCAACAGCTCGGCCAAGCTGAAGCGTGAGTGTGTGCGTGGGGTGCAGCAGGACGGTGTGGAGACTGGCATGCACAGAGACCTCCCATCCCTAGGCATTCACCCACAGGGCCAGATGCTCCCAGGGAAAACCTTAGAAAAACCAAAACATCTGGAAACAATGACCCAAGCGAGGGCCTTTCAGAAGCCTGCAGGCTGCGAATGCAGCAGGGGAAGGTGCAAGTACAACCTGACCGTGCCAAAGCCTGGTGTCAGCCTCCAGAACATGCCTGGACAACACAGGCTTTTTTGGGTGCATACGAGCACCCGCAGCTTTCCCTGCCAGGGCCATAACAGGCAGCAGGGCAGCGAGGGCTGGCAGTGGAGGAGGGTGCATTGCTGCTCCATGCAAAACCAGCCTGTCCTCACCTGCTCACCAAGCCCCTGTTAGCTGTGCAGGATACCCTGCACACCACTCACCGCGGCGCCTTCCAGCGTAGACAAGCTCAGTTATGCTGTGTAGCAAGGTGTGAGCATCACCGCACATTGGTCCCAGGGATGTGAGGAGTATATTTCTAGCGTGGGGTTTCTAGTTGATTTTTTAACCTGCTCAGCGAGGTGACTTGGGCCAGGCAGAGGGGTGAGGCAGGCGTCTTGGGCACTCTGTGGGGCACTAAATGCCTTTTTTTCCTTCCTTCCTCCCAAGTGAAGTGCAGCGAGCTGCAAACAATCAAAACTGAGCTGACACAGATCAAATCCAACATTGATGCTCTCCTGGGCCGACTGGAACAGATCGCTGAAGAACAGAAGATGTCCACAGGTCAGTTGGTGTGTGCAGATGCCTCGGAGCCAGTCCAAGCACAGGCAAAAAGTTCAGGGAAGGGCCCTGCAAAGCTTGCCTTGAAATCATCGTGGCTTAGCGCATCCTCCGGGCTCTGACGGTGAAGTGTCGACCCCCAGGTTCCAGACTGGAATCACAGGCCAAAATTCCATGGCAAAATTCCGCAAATTACAGAATTGGGTTTTAAAATGATGAGATTTTTCTTTTCTTTTCTCATAGAGTTTGTATTTTTTTTAGTTTGATTTTTGTTCTAGTCTAGTCTAGTCTATTCTGTCTGCGTCTCACACCCACTCTAGAGGGGTGCAGAAGGATGCCCTGCTTTGCCCTCTCCAGGGTTGCTTTCAGGCAGCTTCCTCAAAATCAGCAAAACTTCCCATTGCAGGGAAAAAAACCTAGATCCATTATTTCCCTACCAACTGAATTTGGGGGCCCACTGGATTAGTGTCATCAGGCTCCAGACATTGCCTCCCCAGCCCCTGATCCTGGTGGCTTGGCTCTTGCTCTCACAGAGGTACGGAAGAAGGCAGATGGCAGCAAAAGTGAAATCTCACAGGAAGACACAGCATCAGAGGCAGAGGTCAACACGGAGGAGCCGCTGAACGGGGACGAGGGTGAGGAAGAGGGTCTCGCACGGGATGAGTGTGAAGATGAACTGGTAAGAAAGTTTGGGTAATACATCCCTCCAGCCAAAGGAGTTCAGTAATGGACCACAGTTTTACTGGAACTTACTAAATCCCCAGTTTTTCCTTCCTCAGAAGAATTTGTATTTAAATCCCGATTATTCACAGCTTGTTCTTTCAAACTGTTCTGCTGCTTGCAAAAGCATTGACCTAGCAAATGCATGTGGAGATGCTGAAGAAACATGGTTGGCTCTTGAAATTCGGACCACATTTATCCTTGATTTCACAACTATTAATTAATGGTTAAAACAAGTTGCTCTGCTCCCAAGTAATTCTCAGATGGATTGAAACATATGGTAAAGACAGGCCATGTTATATTAACTGCGCTTTCTTAACAATGTGCATTTGCAATGCCATTTTGTCTGGACAGACACAAAATGGCATAAATCTTGTTATAAGGTCTGAGAAAGCCACGACTGCTGTGCGGTACATCGATAGCGAGGGCAGCACTCAAGCATGGCTGGCCTGATGTCTTGCACACATCGGCCCCATTGGTGTTAGTCCTGCCCTGAATAAGGACACTCACAGTGAACCCAGCGAGGAAATTTTGTGCCTAAAAAGCATCTGGATGGAAGCCCTGTTCTTGGGTACTCTGATGGCAAGAGTAATACAGGGCACTGTATTACCACTGGCAGCACTGTCATTTATCCCAAATTAAGACTCCTCTGAGAACACAGTCAGCTCCAGACGCAGGCAAAGGGCAACAGGGTGCTGGGGTGGAAGCACATCCCTGCTTGCTGCCTCTTCCCCAGGACCGCAGCCCTGGGGAGCTGGGCTGGCTGGCACAGCTCTCCTGCGGAGGCTTGGGGCACGTCAGGGCAGCCTCTGAGCCTGTACTGAGTGTCCCCTGCAACAGCTCCACTCCTTCCCTACCCCGGCACTGGTGGCAGCAGAAGTGAGGATGAAATTCAGCATCCCTTTCTTCTTCCTCACCCCCTCATCACCAGGGTGACCGCACCACATTGCACATGTGCGGCACTCTTTCTATGGCCAAAAAGCTCCTGTAACTCAAAACATTTCTCAGCTTGTTTGTACTCTTCTACTCTGCTCCACCTTAGTCATGATGGATGAAGGATCTGAACAGGGTCTTTCAGCTGTTTCGGTTTCTAGGGCCTCATAGCTGAAGTCCATGACTCCTGCTAAATCTAAGAAGAGATGATTAAGGGGAGACATCGTAACAGACACTATAAAAAAGAAAGGCAAAAGCTGGCCTCCATCTCTATGGCAATTAGGATAAGGAAGGCCAGGTTTGAATTACATCAAGAGAAACAGATGGTAGAAATTAGGGGGAAACTTGCTGATGCTAATGATGATAAAGCAGCACACAGCCTGTCAACAAAAAAAAAAATGTGGACTTTCCTGCCGTTAGTGGGATAAGAAAACAGAGTGGACAGACATCCTGCTGGCAATGATTTAAGAAGAGCTGGTCTTCATTAAGAGTAGATGAACAAGGTGATTATTTCAGCTCCCTTCCACCTCTATTTTTTGTAACTCTCTGGTCCTAAAGTGGCATTGAGATCAGAAATATTTCACTGCCAACATCAGACAGGCTCACATGTGCTCAGCATGGGGCAGGTTAATGTATGCAGTTCATCTGCAGGGATGTTCACTGCAAGGCGGCTCACTAAAGCCATCCTTTGTATTTTGCTCCTGACCTTATAACACTGAACAGTGTTGAAGTCTTTCCAGTTCCTGGGGAGTGACTCCTTTACAGAATCATAAAATGCTTTGGGATGGAAGGGACCTTTAAAGGTCATCTAGTCCATCCCCCCCTGCAATGGGCAGGGACATCTGCAACCAGATCAGGTTGCTCAGAGCCCCATCCAGCCTGGCCTTGAGTGTTTCCAAGAATGGGGCATCTACCACCTCTCTGGGCAACCTGTTCCAGTGTTTCACCATCCTCATTGCGAAAAATTTCTTCCTTATACTTGTCCTATCACCACAGGCCCTGCTAAAAAGTCTGTCCCCATCTTTCTTATAAGCCCCCTTTAAGTACTGAAAGGCCGCAATAAGGTCTCCCCGCAGCCTTGTCTTCTCCAGGCTGAACAACCCCAGCTCTCTCAGCCTTTCCTCACAGCAGAGGTGTTCCATCCCTCTGATCATTTTGGTGGCCTCCTCTGGCCCCGCTCCAACAGGTCCATGTCCTTCCTGTGCTGAGGACCCCAGAGCTGGACACAGGGCTCCAGGTGGGGTCTCACCAGAGCGGAGCAGAGGGGCAGAATCTCCTCCCTCAACCTGCTGGCCACGCTTCTTTTGATGCAGCCCAACGTCTCTTTGGCTTACAGACATCAGTGTAGCCTTCACCACCTGCTGTCCATGGACATGGTGCCCACAGCGGTCCCTAAAAAACATTATCTACCCTTGGCTCTGAGGGGCACTGGTGTTGCAAGAGGAGAGTCAGAGGTGACTCAGGCAGATCTGATCTAGTAGTTAGTTTATTGAGTTCTAATCATTAAATTTAGGTGTGTAAAATATTTAATAAGTACATTTGGATTGTTGGTCAATACTATTTACTACATTTAAAGTTAGTATGGGATACAAAGATTATCGTGTGAGCTTACTATACTTATCTTAAATGTTACTTGCATGCAAAAAATGTCACTTACCAACCCATCAATGCCTGGTGTCAGGTAAGGTATCTCTCAGCCTTGAGGAGTAACCTTGCAAGGTGTCCCTACTCAAGGGGAGATCCCTGCCACGCAGCCAGCTGCTATGGAGGGAGAGCTTAACGGACCCTGATGGCTGCAGATATTTGTAGCGTGAAATGGTTGATTCGTAGTCAGATTTTCTGCCGTGTTCATGCAGTTTCAGCCACTTATCAGCCCAGTCTCCAGCCAAACTGTTTGTTGTGTTGGATTCTCACTGATAGCCTCACACAAAAGGATTAACTTTGTTTAGGGTTACTTGCTGAGCATCTCCCTGGACCAAAGTCCAGTTAGTTCAACGAAGAGAAGTGCATCCATCACAAGTGGGAAAGACATAGTTTATGCAAGGCAGGAACCAGACCTGCCCACACTTGGGCGGTACCCAGCACAGAGGCTTCCCTGCCATGAACCTCTTCCCCATGGTGACAAGTGGGGAAGATCCAATTGGACTTGGGTCTAGGTCCCACCTGTACCAACTGTAGGATGTCCCCTGGGGACCAGCAGGCCTGAGCATCCCTGTTCATAGGGGAGGTCACTGAACCAGAGCTCATGTGAAAATACTGCTGCTAAGCAGAGTGGTGCTTCACAGTGGTGTTAGCCCCAGCTGGGAGAGGGGAGCATTTTAGACCCCCAAGGGAGTGGGAGGCAGGCACACAGTTTCCATTGACAGTCAACGGGAGCTGGGCAAATACTTCCTTTCAGCCCCACTTCCAGTGCAAAGTTGGCTGCCCTGGTGCACAAATCTCTGCTTGGCCTTGGTGAAGTTTCCAACGTCACCTGGGGAGATCAAGTCCAAAATACGTGCTGCAGCCCACAGAGAGAAGGATGAAGGTGTCCCCACTCCCAGCATGAGTTTGTGCCCTTTTCAGAGGGGGCAGGCAGGAAAGGAGCTCTGCAGAGGAAGGATAAAGTAGGTAATGCTTCATTCCCACAGGCTTTGCCACTAGGCTCAGGGATCTGGGAGGCAAGCAGACAGACTTGGACAGGTGAAAACCAAGAAGAAAAAAAAAAAAAAAAGGCATTAAGTACCTTGGCCTTTTCCATGTGCTTTGTCACTAGGCCCCATGGTCCCCTGCCCCATTGAGCAGTGAGCTTACACGTCCCTTAGCCTTCCTTTTGCTGCTGGTGTACCTACAGATGCTCTTCTAACTCCATCACTGCACACTGGAGGGATGGCTCTATATTTCTCCTGGGTGGCTCAGCTCTGCTTTCCATCTTCTAGGTTCTGGCTTTTCGTGTAGGAAAAAGCTTGGTTGGGAGCTTGCTGTTCATCCACGCTGGCCTCCTACCACACCGGCCCAACTGTCATCAGAATGGGCCATTCTTGTGCTTCAAGGCAGGTGTCCTTGAAGATGACCCAGATGCCCTGGGGTTCTTGGCCTCCAGAGCAGTCTCCCATGGGATTTTGCCAAGCAGATCCCTGAACAACCCAAAATCTGCTCTCTTAAGTTCAGGGATTTGATTCTGCTCTTTGTCTTGGTCACTTCTCTCAGGATACTCAACTTCACAGTCTCATGGTCACTGCAGCCAAGACTTCCCTCCATCTTCACATCTTTGATGAGTTCTTCCTTGGTCATCAGTAACAGTCCAGAAGAATGAACCCCCTAGTCAGCTGGTCAGTCAGCTGTGTCAAGAAATTGTTCTTCATGCTCTCCAGAAATCTCCTGGGTTGCTTGCACCCAGCCATGCTGCCCTCCCACCAGATTCCAGGGTGGTTGAAGTCCCCCAGGAGTAAAAGGACCTGCAATCAGAAGGCTTCCTCCAGCCATCCATAGGAGACTTCATATCAGGTGGTCTGTAGCAGATGCCTGCCATGATGTCACCTATGTTGGTCTGTCCCCTGATCCTCACCCACAAGCTCTCAGCTGACTCATCACCTGTTCCAAAGCAAATCCCTGTGCATCTGGGCTATTCCTTTGCCCAGAGCACATGCCACCTCACCTGGCTTTCCTGAAGAGCCTGTTCCCAGGGTGCTACCTGCTCTGTAATTGCAGAGAAGGAGCCTTTGTTCTGTTGCCAGAAGTCACAAGTTTCCAGACTTCCCCCTCTTGGGAGTCTCCGTCCACAGCTCCTTTGAGCATAGTCTCCAGCTATCCCTTCTTCATGCATTGCAGTCCTGAGGCTTTTCCCCTGTAGGGTCTCTGCAAAGACCCTGTTGGTCACGCTGTTTGTAAAAATCTATTTATCCCATCTCCCCCAGTACCCTGTAACCAGCCTGCTGCTAACAAGGTTGGGACTGGGCTCCCTTGCGTTTCCTTTCAGATTACCTAGTGTCCCCTGCAGACATCTCCTGGATCCATTTCCGTCTCTAAAATATTCACCACAAAATTTAGCCTATGCAGGAGGTAAAATACTACTGCTGAGCATCTAATTCTTTTAATGATACTGCATTGCAGAATGGCTCCAGGAGGGGGACTTTCACCTGCCGTGCTTTCAAAACCATTGTTGCATGGGGAGTGGTTCAGCACGCTGGCACTGTTATTGTGGCCTTTGGAGTGATGATTATGATGAGTGTTATCATTCTGGATGATGAGTTCTGCTGCAAACTGGGACCAGCTTCTGTGTTCAACAGCAGAGTCATTACACCATGCTCAATTTGCCATTGTGGACTGACTGCACCTTAGCATCATTGGGCAGTTCCAGTAATGCAGGCATGCCTGTTCCCTGCTGCGGGCCATTCCTAGGTCCCAAATTAACTTCTCACAGTGCTGCAACAAGGCATGAGCAGTGCAAGCACATGCGGTAAACTTTATGAAAGTGCTGAGCATGGACTTAACCTGGCCATGCAGAAATTAGGCATCCAGTAAAGCACAGCAACTCATGCCGCAGGCTCAACACCTTCCCTGGGACATGCCCGCTGGAGGTCCTGACTCTGGCGTAGCCCAGATCAGACACCTAACTTTACACAAGGGAAGGTGGGCTGCCAGACTTCAAAATCCAAGAGGGACTCACACATCCCAGGTCTGTTTGGCAGAGCCCTTCCAGAATAAGGAGTCGGGAGGAAATTTTTGGTTTTGCCTAGGACTGCGTCTGCCAGAAACCACAGCCACGGCACCCGGTGTCCACATCAGCTGTGTTTTGTAGCTCCTCCACCACGCTGAGCAACCTGACGCTGCTCACAGCATGCGAGCTCTCCCACACCACTGTACCAGCTGGTCACCGCATACGAGGTGTCACGGTGTCCCAGGCAGGGCAGGAGGTACACGTGGTGATTTACTGTTTCTGGTTCCCTTTTCCCTCCAGGAGAACAGCCATTACACAGATGTGGAGGATGCCAGACTACAGTAACCAGGTACAGCCCACACACTGCTGCTTAGATGCTGATTCTGAGCAAAAGCCTTCATTCCATGGACGTTGGGGTGGGAGGGTTGCTGCTTCAGAAGATGCTCTTTTCCACTGATCCTCTGTGTTTTCCTAGCACTGAGCTTGGCTGCTCAGCTGGGTCGCTGATCAGCCCCTCACTCCCTTTCCTAAATCACAAATCTTTGAGGTTCAAGTAATATGATGTAGCTTTTTTCCTCCCCCCCCTCTCTCCTCTCTCCTTGCAGCCCATTGAGAACAGCAGTGAGCAACAGTGTGAGGAAAGCACGAGGCTAAACCCTGTCCTGGCACGTTGAGCAAGACAAGCTGAATCGAAGTGCTGCTGTCATCTCTACCTGGCATTCAAAAGGAGAAACATGGCCCAACATCTTCCATCCATCTGTAAAGCAAAGACAAAGAAAACTCATCATCCCAGTGAATCCCCACTACCCCGTGCAATGGATTCGGAGCTCTGCAGCCAGCAGAGGCAGGAACCAAACCCTGCACAATCCATAACCATCACTGACTGGATAACGGGAGAGCGGTTGTGTCACCAAATGAGTCAGAGGTGTTAAAGAGCTTTTTGTAGGAGAGGAGGGAGAACGAAGCCTAATCCAATAAAGACATTGTTTCCCGTGCTAGGTGAGAGCCAGAGCATTTGCTAACTGGGGGAAAAGGACTGTCTCAGTTTGGACAATTTGTGTTCTCACGCTAAGGTCACGTTGAGGAAGAGGGTGTGGGGTGAGCTGTCCTCCCAGAATGGTCACCTCCTGTTGTGTCTCTTTTGCCCCATGAGCTGCTGCGAGTACACAGTCACTTCCAGGTGGAAAGGAGTCGGTGCTGGTGCATGTGCAGGGCTCTTTGCAGCTGCCTGAAGAGAGGGGAAGGGGAAAGGAAGCTGCCTGCAGGAAAGCAAGTGATCCCAAGCAGGAGAAAGAAAGCATACATCATCTTCAATGGTTTGGTCTCCTCGTTTTCCACTGAGAAACCACGATGTAAAGGCTGAGCAAGTCTCTGCAGAATGAGAGGGTGCAAGCATGTGTGGATGAGACCCTTTTCTTGGACCAGCTGCTCCCTGGAAGGGAAGTAATCCACCCACTTCTCCAGCCCAGTGACAGAGACAATCAGCCCCTTCCCCAGGGTGCTCACGTCTCCTCTTGCCCCAGCCTTGCTGGGTCTTCGCACCAACCTGGCATGCCAGGAGAGCGGCACAACAGCTCCTGCTCGTGACTGCGAAGGCTGTGCTCCAGCACCAGTCTGACGGGTGTGCGCAGCGTGACAACTTGCCTGAGCGTAATGAGACTGGTAACGGTGAATACCCTGAGCACGATGCATGTGGGCGTGCAAGCACATCCCCTGCCTACCCAAATTCAAGCTGCTTTTGACCCATGCCACGTCCTGCAAGCAGAGGGCTGCAGCAGCCAGCATGCAGCTTGTCGTGGGAACCCCCTTACACCACAACACCCAAGAGGTCTCTCAGCCTTTCTCTTCTTGTTCGTTCCTCCTTCGTGGGCTTATCCAGTTTTTCTGAGTTCAGGGGTAGATGGGACTGAAACTCATGCAGCACTTTATTCAGATCAGATGTGTCCTGCCTGTCTCCCCGATTTCCCTCCAAAACACACACACACACACACACACGCACGCACGCACGCACACGCACACCCCAGTGCTTTGAATCTGGACCGGTGTCCACAGCTTCTCCTTGGTCAAACCCTCCCACAAAAGGCATGGCCCCCCAGGTCATATAGAGTGCTCTGAAAGGGGACTCCTGCTTTCTGCTCCAGCGCTCAAAGCCAGACCTCATTTATGGCATCTCTCTTTGGAGGGTGAAGGGGAAAACAGCTCCTGGGGGCCACGCTTCCCTCCCCCAAGGGCCATCCTGGAGCAAGCATGGCTCTTGAAGCACAATGTTTTATTTGCATTTCTTAGTTTCAAATAATTCATGAGGGATTAAAGGGATAACTGTGCTTTCCCCTACCTTTTTCCGGTTCCTGTACAATTTATCCATTGTGTTGTACTGAGCCGTTGTAGAGCTGTTTTCTAGGCTTTGAGAGATGAGCTGCAGTTTTTGCTATGAACTGACTGTGATGCTGATGTTTGGGAGAAAGGTGACCTTGTACATACAATCCTGTATAATAAAAGAAAGAAATCTAATTTGCTTTTGCTCTCTTCTCTCTCTGTCATACGTACATACACATACTTTTTTCCCCCGTTTCAGACAAGTTAGTCGTCTTTCCCTTTCTAAGCTTCAGCTGTGCCCACAGGATTTGCTTTCCCTTAGACAAGGTATATCCCGCTGGGCTGAGCAAAACATCTGGGTTCACAGAGTCTGTGGATCTTTTCCTCTGGAGGCCTGGAAACTTATTTGATGCAGGAGAGCAGGGGTCAAACCCAGGCCTTTTTAATCTCTGGACTTTGTACTGGTCCAGCTCATAACAAACTGGAAAAATGAGGCTGCTGTTCCAGTTTGCACAAGCCAACGGTGCTAATAGATGCTGCTTAAGCACAATGTCTTCTGGCTGTCTCCCCAGTCCCTTCCTCAGCAGAGCAAAGCTCGCACCATGTTGCCAGCTGTGCATGTGTTCACTGGAGTAATCATCCAAACCCTGGCACGTTTGGCACCTGAGCTGTGCCTGGAGGGCACCAGTGACCACATGGGGAGAAGCCAGCTGCTACCACACTTTCAATGCTTTTCTAAGTTTCCAGTCCTAAAAAGCTGTCTGCTGAGCCTGGCCTGAGCCATCATCCAGCACCGGAGGGCAAAGCTGCCTACTGCATCTGTTCAAGTTCATGGTGAGTCTGGGGATGCTTCAATATCCGTCTGTCCATCCATCTTGCCATCAGTCACCAGTTTACTTCAAGATGATGAAAGGAGCATGGTCAGACTAATGGCTGGACATCTGTGGCTGGGAAGGAGGAAAGACCGGGGGTGGGGGGAAGCAAATTAAAACATTTGGCTATCAAGAAGATCAAAATCAGCCCAACCTTAGGTCCATCGAGGCGCGTGCCTGGGCTCTGAGAGCAACCACGGCTCAGAGCCTCAGAGAGGGCAGAGCGCTTCCCTGCTCCATCCCCGCCCCGAGCCCCTGCCTCACCGGCCAAATGCTGAGCCTGGCGCCGGGCTGGCGCTGGGTAATTGCAGTGCAATGCAACTCATCAGCTTCAAGCCGTTAGAGCATAGTGGAGGTCTCCTAGCAAACAACTGTTTTGATTTTGTTAATTATTTTGGGGGGAGAGTGAGGGAATTCAGGAGCTCTTATGCAGGCCTGGTGATGAACTTTGCTCTTGGCTGTAGCTAGGGCCTCAACGAAATGAGTTCTGGGATTTTCATGCTTATTGAGTTCTGTATGTGACCATCCAGAAAATCTTCACATGAAGAGGCGAGGGCACAGCAGTGGGGTGGGAAAGGGGACGCACACTGCCCCTTTCACCCATAAAGCAACTGCAAAGCTTCCTGCT